CTCCCTTGCTTTTATGGGGACATGACACGTTTCCTGTCTAGCAATGGGCAAATTCCATTTGTTTGCTAATGGTAGCAATGCCAGTGGTTGCTACATGGGATTTCAATACCTGGTTATCATTGACAAAATCAGTTTTAGGGCTGAAGTTACATAACATGAGAGTTTAACACATAAAATTTCAATTTTTATTTAATGCAAATATAAAATCCAAGCTTCAGAGTAAGGAGCTAACTAGACTCAGAGTCTGGGCTTTTTAAAATCCTCACAATGAAATGACATAAAAATATGTAGCATTCATCTAATAGAGGCCATGACATCAACTCCTGAAGAATCAGAAAACCTTTGCTGAAGAAAGATACAGGGTTTTTTGGTTTTTTTAAACTATTTCATCTGCAAGAACATTTGAGCTAGCTCCCTGCTAGGGCCCTTACACTTCTTCCAACCCAGCATGTGAGGAGATACCTTGGCAGGGGGAAGGGGAACACAGGAATTTTCTCTGGCTTTCAGTAGACATGGCTACACACATGCTTTGTTCTCTCAACCTTTTTACACCCCCTGACAAAAATCTTGTCACCATCAATACAAGGGCTGGGGTGACAGGTCACATGAAATTGCACCAAGCTGCTTCTACATGTTATTTTTAGCCTTGTCTGTCATCTTAGAGAGCTGCGTGTCAGAGATAAGCATGCTGCAGAGGACAGAGGTAGCTCTTTAAATAAACTCTACTGCAAAGACTAGAACAGGCTGCAAAATTCTTGTACCAGGCAGCACCATTTTCTCTTCTCATCAAAAAGAAGTCTGTGTAGGGACTCCAAGAGTCTTCTGGGGTCTGTATGAAGGCAATGCTTGCAATAGGGAGAGACAGTCGCCCCATGGCTGGTAGGTGTAATGACTAACTCTCATCATGTAAGCAGGACAAGTCCCAGAGGGGTCGGCTGTCATGTCCAGCACTACTAGAAAAATCAAGACCTTCTCATCAGGAAGTATGAGAGCTCAAGGCTCTGACTTTCCCTCTGCTCCCAGCACAGGAGTTCCCAAGCTCCACTGCAGCAGAGTGCAGACAGCCCTTGGTTTTCCCTGGGGTACCTGGAAGCTCTCCATTGCTGCAGCAGATGAATGCCCTCAGCACAGATAGCAAGCAAACTACTGAAATGCCCTAAATTCTCAGGCTCTTGGTGGAAGCTTACTATGTTTTTTGCAAGCCACTTCACCCCCTGCTGAAGCACAGAGAAATTGTTTCTGAGCAAGTTGCATGGCCTATTACTCCCACAGCATCTGCTCTGGGCACACCGGGCCCTCAACTGCTTCAGAACTACCCTATGGCCACCCTACAATTACCAACGGGTCTTCCTCACCCACTATGTCCCGGAAGGAAACAATCCCACTCTCCCCCAAAGCCTTGCTTGTAAACAGCAACGACAGCAAGACCTACACCTAAACCAGAAGTACGTGGATTGCAACATCTTTGGAGAATCGTGTAGGAATGATTTTTGTTTAAAACAGTCCAAAGGGGCACATATCCTTGAAAAAGACATCTGTAATAGAAATAACCCAAATACAACCCATAATCCAGGAGAGGTTGTCAGTAAGATGCAGAGAGCTGCAACCCTTTGCAGTTATGTACCTCAGGGAGTGCGGAGAAAAGCAGAGTTGCCTACATGTACTTATCTGGAGACTACAACTTCTTAAGTGTGAGATTTTAACCCTATGTAATGCAAAAGGAGACAGGAAGCTGTGATGGTCAGTGTAGAGAGATATCAAAATAAGCAGGTCAAATGCTAGAGAGGATCAGTAAAGAAGTTACTAATAGAAGGTAAATCCATGTGGCATTTTTACAGAGCTGCCTGTAAAAGGATGTGTTCTTGAGAGAAATATGAAGTTTCTGTTACCAGCAATGCTCACGGCTATATGAAAGGAATAGAGGTCACAAAAACTGAAGTGTTAGGAAAGGCTTTCTGGTCTGGTACTTACCCTCTCTTTGTAGTAGAAGGAGCTAATGGAGACCTGCTCCTTCTCGCTGCGTGTTGGACTCCCACTGTACAAGCGCAGATTGCCTGGAGTCTCTGTGCGGATCTTCATTGGAGTAATGAGGCCACTATGGTACGCTGATAAAGCTGACAGGGACCTAGAAACAAGAGAACACACTTTCAGGAGCTTTCACCCACCAAACTGCCCTGGAAGCTCACGCTGACATTTCCACTAACCCAAGCTGCTAGCAACGTTTCAGGTGTGTTGAAGGAAGGGGTCTGCTGAGGGCCAGTGACACGAGACCAGCATCTCTGTGTCGAGGGCACAGCTAACACTAGAGGTCAGTACTTGCTGAGAGTCAGTAGCTCCAGTGTAGGATCTGATATTCTCCTGCTTTCCTGCCCATGACGGCAGCACACCGAAAATGCATTGCAGGGTACTCACCTGGGTGTGGGTTCCGTTGGGGACACTGCACGGTGCATGGTCATGGGTCTTGTGAAATACACCAGGTACCCTGAAGAGACAGGACATGGCATGAAGATCATACAACGAGAAGTAGATTACCCAGGGGTGGTTTACACAGGGAAACGTGGTCATTTAAGGTATCGGAGTCAAGGGGCTGGGTGCCTATCCACTACCCTGAGCACTACAAGTAGATAACCACATTTTCTCAACCCAAATCCACTCCCTGCAAAGCCATTAAAGAGCATGTTTCGTTGAGATGATTGTCTTCAAAGCACTATCTCAAGTGGCTTACAGATGTTAGGGAAAAGACAGTAAAAGAAAATGAGCAAACACATACTCATGTTTTAACTCTTCACTAGAACTTGTCAAGCACTGATACTCCAGAGGCAAGTGAGGTGATGTTTGGCTATGCAGAGAAACCATTGCAGCTTGTATGACTCTCCTCTTCAAAAGGATAACCAAGCCACCTGAAGCCAACTCCAAAGCACTCTCTCACAAACCTTACACCATTTGTTAGCATCTCAAGTGTCTTCAGCCACCCACTTTTGCAAGAGTTTCAGGATTTAGCAGGTTTCACTGAGCCTATTCAATGCAGTACTACTCTGTTTTACTTTTGCTGGGAATTCGGTGAGGCCCGTACGAAAAGCGGCTTTCAAAACATACTTGAACTGGGATGCGGTCAGGTCTGGAGGAGACATGCTTGCAACTGAAACAGCTCAGTGAAACTTAACAGCTCTTACTCAGACCTTAACCTGTTTTTTAAGAATGATCTTTGCACTGTACACACTCTCTTGGAAACCTGTACATGATTGTACCCCATCTCCCATTGAGCAGAAGTTTCCCAGTAACCTTGGGAAAGCTATTTTGGACAACAGAAAGGGTGCAGAATGAGAAAAGAGTGGTTAGTAACAAGAATATGGCTTCAGCAAGGATTAAGTTCAATCCTAAATGACAGTAATTTTGTGAAGACTGAGAGCCAGAATATGTCCAGCAGTTTGATGCTGGTAGGAGAGAACTAGGCAAGGAAAATAGCTATTCCCAGTCTTCCATAAAAGGTCTGTCAATGCCTCTGGCATACCACAAGCCAAAGGCCATCTCTTCAACTAGTCCTGGATTTCCAAATCCTAAAATCCCACATGCAATACCAACTCCAAACAGTTGCTACCTAGTCTCATTATCTATAAATTTATCACAGCATTGCTACTTTACTACCATTTCTTACTCATTGCATGGCAGCGACCAAAGCCTTGTCTTGTTCAGAGGCAAGTGTTCCCCAAGATATTAAAAAGACCATTCCCCTGGTAGCTGTTGTAACGTATCAGCAATGGGGCTAACCTGCACCACAGAACCTGGCTCCAGAGGTCCGTGGAAATGGGATGTTAGAGTCCTGGTAGGAGCCATAGGCATTGGAGACCCGGGCGAACGTGGGCAAGGGGGGTGTTACGGAGTTTGACAAAGCGTAGGGATTGCTGGAAGTGCTGTCCTCTTGGTTCTGAAACAGAAGTTACCCAATGTCACACTCCTGCTGCCACAGGAAGGAAACCCAGCTGTAGCACTGGACATTGCAGTGCCAAGCACCCTCAAGGAAGGTGCTTGTCCTTTGAGTCTGAGCAGATCAAGCACAGAGCATGGCTACTGCTCTGGATGCAAATGCAAGCACATTTACCTTTGAGGAAAGGGCTTCTCTGGCTGCTTGCTCTGTCCAGAGATTTCTCTCCCACCACAGCCATGTTGAAACACAGAGCTTAACTTGGGGTGAAACAATACAGAAAATCTGACCTTCAGACTCTGAATGTGACTCTCAACACAGGGAGCTGAGCTAAACCCGATACCTCAGTGATGAAAGTGAGACAAAGTCTCCTTAAATAGGAATACCACACAACTGAGCGGGGGTCAAATGCAGGTTAGGAGTCTTGAGGTGAGGAAAGCACGTGGTGTGAAATACTGGGGGACCTCAGGCCTATCCATAGGAATTTTGCCAGAAATCTGCATTTATTTGGATAAAGAGTACTACAGTTTAGGTTTAAAGGAGTTCTTTAAAGGCAGCAGCGCCTGATTTGAGTCATCAGATTTCCATACAATGGAGAAAGTTCCCACTCTTACAACATTACTGCTGAAACCAAACAGAATTAAGCCTTTCCATGTAAAAAAAGCCCTTTATTTGTGATAAATAAACAAAGCCTCTTGGAAAAGAAACCTGAGGAGACTCTCCAATCTTCCCTTAAATGCTAAAAACACACACTTTGGTACACTTCACCCACACACAGACATAATACCTGACACTGGGATGATGAGTAGGTATCACAGATCTCTCAGCTAAGGGCAAAGTGTGACTGAATTTATCTGCAGTATCATCCCTACAAAACCTCAGCACAAGGCTTCAGAAAAAACAGACTTTCACAGTTTCTTTTTATGATAGAATAAAATAAAGACCCTAGAATAGGACTAGCAGGATCTTTGACTAGAACTGAGGAGGTAAAGACATCCGCCACTGCCTTTCAGACAAGAACGAATCCATCAGCTCCCTAAGGCCTCTTATCTTCTCTCACAGGCGATAACCATGCCTTGGCACTCAGTGAGATATACGCTGAGCTGGGAAGCTACCATGCACCACTAAGATGCTCCAACCCCCTGTCATTCCTGCTAACCTGAATACCAGTGAGTGTGCAGAGTTCCCCAAAGCAACAAACCTTCAGGGTCTGATTTTCAGAAACAAAACAAATCTAATCATCTGCTCAGTTTCTTTCAACTTTAACCAGAAGTGCTTACGCAAATGTAACGGCCAGTCACAGGGGTCTATTTAGACGTCTAATGAGGCCGGACTCTCACTGCACAGTCAGAAGTGTGGGATGTGGGAGAAGACAACAAACTAGGGCAGAAAGCCCACGCAGTTCTCCATACCACAACAGACTCCAGCCAGGAAACCAACTGACGCAGGCAGGGCTCCAGGCAGCTCTGGTTCCGCTTCACTTTCTGCAGAGACGTGTCTTTCAATATCTGGAATATATACAAGATGCAGCTTGAATCATGGTTATATCCACACCTTCCCCACATCCTTTTTTGTCTGCAGAACAACTAAAATGCCAGGATCCAGAGAGGCCAAAGACATTCCATAACATCCACTGGAGCCACACTGACGTGCTGTCTGCTTTGAGGAATGACTGTGAGCTTTGATCAGAGTGCTGAGGGTTCACGTAGATTCAGCACACTGAGCCAGGATTGGGGCTTCTATACTACTGTAGCCCATATGTTCCATACCAGTTTGTGGCAAATTGAATCAGTTTTTTTCAGGGAGGAACCCAAACTGATCTATCTACCTGCTGCTGCAGAAGTGATTTCATCAGCAACAGGACTTCCTAACACCAGATGATCAAACACCTGGTCTGGAATTAGCAGGGCATGTGTAAAAAGTCTCCTCATTTTTAAAACAGTTTGTGCAGGAGAGCAGGAAGCAACACCCCAGCTCAAAAAATACTATCTTTCTGCAGCTGGATGCTTAGCTGGTCATTTTGGGGTTGGGGGCGACTGCATGAGGAGAAGGATGTTAGGGATCCTCAGGCAATACGCATCACACAGGAATACAGTAGCAGTGAAGAACACATGTTCAAAAGCATGAGTGGAGAAAGGCATACGCTAGGCTCCAAGCCCAACAAAAACCTCATCCTAGGACCTCTACAACGTATCAGTTCAAAGTGACCTGTGGTATGTCTTCAGCAAGGTCAGATGTTTTTCTGTATTAGTAAGATAGACATCGTGTCCAGCATTTGTATATTTATAAAGACAGTGTACACTCCTCACACACCTTCAGCAGCTTTGCCTTCATGGAGGCAGTGATTGAGGTCGGATTGATGAACTGGAAGGACGGTGCAGCGTTATTGGGATACTGGACAGGGAACATCACCAGCATCCTGACTCTGTGGTTGCCGCAGTGCACTGAGACCGTACAGCTACGACTCACCGCATCCATCTGTGTGAGGAAAAGCAATTGCTCTGTAGTTAGATCTCAAAGGACCTTTAAACTTATAGTGGCTTAAATTCATGCTGAGGGGCTGATTCCTCTGCACACCCATAAGACAAAGTCATGCTGTTCTCAAGGGCAGCACAGTGACAGCAAAAAACCCCAGGCAGAAAAGGACAGTCTCAACTCGCACCACCAGACTGCCAGTCCAGCATCCCAGCACCTGGAGACTACAGTCAGCCCAGACTGTGCCAGGAATCAGGCTCTGCTCCCAACAGCCACTGCACCTCAGCCCACCTCACCTGGCCGTGGAGAGCTCCAGGGCCAGTGCAGCAGTAATAGGCACCATCTAAGATCACACAGTACTGTCTCGGAAAACTACATCAGGATCGTGCTATGAGCCATGAAACCACAGGGTGGGAAAGGAGACAGGCAGCTGCCTCAAGCCTCCTGTCCCAGTACAGCGCTGTGCCTCCAGCCACCTTCCACACACAGAGGAGGGTTTGGCGTGCAAGGGAGATGTCAAAACTGAGGGAGAGAGTGCAGTATAGGGAGGGCTCAGCAGATTAGGTTCAGAAACAGTTGAAATGAGATCAGCTGCATGTAGTGGAACAAATCACTTCCCACTCTGCAGTCTAGGCAGAGAGGAAAACACCATCCAGCCTTCCCAGGACCAGCGCCAGCGTACTTACTGTGCTGAAATACTTCCCTCACTCCCAGTATCTCGGATTATCCTCTTTCCTACTACCCCTGGCCAAGAGGATCTCTACAGCTCAAAATAAACCTTGTTTACAGGCAGCAGTTACTGCAGAAAAAAAGGTTCCCTCAAAAAACTCCAATAAGCCAGCCTGCCCACATGCCCTCCTAACAAGCCAGAAAAAGGAAACCCTTTACCTCCACGTTGACATTTCGGATCTGCACATTGATTAGTGAAAACTCCTGCTGCAGTGTCTGAGGTAGCCCAAGCTGGTCCGTTTTCTTTCCCACCAGGGGGTCATTCAGGAAATCTTCTTTTAAGGCTGACAGGAAAGATGGAGAACAGGTTGAGACAAGCTATAATAGACAGACTTTTGGCACACGATGCCAGGAGGCAGCCAAGACAGCAGGCTTTCCTCTGCTCTTCTGACACACAGAGGTATGAGTTTTACCTGGCAAAGACCTGGGAGCTGGAGGGTCTCAGCTGTTGTTTAGTGGTAGGCTTCTGAGCCTTGCTCTTCAAAAAAACAACTCTCTCTGCACACAGGTTTCCCAGGAAGGTTACAGAAGCTGCCTGTACTCTGTACAGCCCAAAATGGTTTGTCTCTACTCATTTGAGACCCCTTCTCCTCCCTACACAGTACTGCCAGAGTCACAAACAGCTGAGCTGGGGCATCTCGTTCAGCCGGAAAGAA